CACACATCTCCAATTACATGCAGAAGTCCCAAGATGTGTAAACACACACTGTAAACCAGAATAATTTAGTTCACTATCTTCAGAACAGGTATTTTAAATTTATTTTATCCCCTTCATATCTAACAGGCAGTAATATAAGCATCACTGTAAAGTTTCAATGCCATGACAAACCATGGATAAAATGTATCATTTCTGCTTCCTACAACACCATAATAGGTAAGACTGTCTCTACTGCAATTTCATTACAGAACATGTTTAAGGCTGGCAAAAACAGAACAATTTGTTCCTTGTAGGCATTAAAGACAATTTTGAAGACCTGTTATGTTCCTACAAGCAGAAATGAATACTTTTTCTTAATGCACTACTATGTGCAGGCCATGACCTCAAGAAAACACAGCAAGCTCTCTGGGTCAATCAAGAAAAACTAAACAACCAGAAAAAAACCCAGGACCACAGAGCCACGAGGCAGCAGCAGCAGTAACAAGTGACATTTCTTTGAGTTCTCATCATCCAGAAAGCTTTAACATAACTCTGTTTCCTGTACTGTGAATACATTAGAGGGGACCTGATATAAGTATTCAACATCCTCAAAAAAGACACTGACGAAGTCAACCCAGCAGACTTCATCAGAATGAGCAGAGAACATGTGCAATCTGCATGGAAATGCATTTAAAAACACAAAAACTAGAGATACGTCTTTATATAAAGGGTTGTGAGAGTATGGAACAAGCTACACAGCCATGGTGTCCAAGTTAATACTCTAAGTTATACTCTAAAGATACTTCTTTCAAAAAACAGCTAAGATAACACTATCCAAAGGGCTAGTTAGGTAAAATGGCTTTCTAATGGTTTCAAATGTTCTTATTTTCTGCACAGTTTTCAATCTAGTCTCTGATAAAAAAAATATAGTACTCAGGAATACCATTTCCAATCCTTAAATTCTTATCAATTGAATAAATAAAATGCCATAAAAGCTCAGCATTAGTTATTGGTTGGGTAAGACCTCATGGTATTAAGTGGCTGAATTGTAACCAAATTGTAAAATGAACTGCAGAGCACTCCAGACAAAACCTGGAAAACCAAAAACTTGGAGCAATCAGAAAAATGGGGTGAAGTAGCCACCACACTTCAATAATGATGTCATTTCTTTTGTGGCATAAGAAGGGATCAAAGTCTGCTCCAGATGCATCCTGCAGAGTCAAAGTCACTGGGACTAACTCTGTCATTATCTGGCAGATGCTATTTTAAAAACAGTAATGTCTCAGAACATAAAAGATGTTTTGTTTCGATAATTTATCATGTTAGCATTCTCCAGTTTGAGAGCATGTATTAGGAAGATGCATTATTTAAGCCTGAAGAAGATATAGAAGCCCCATGAATATTTGTATGATTCAACATTAACTGCTCATAAACCACTACATGTGCAATCACATCACATCACTGTTTTCAATCCCCTGGGACTGCAAATGGAAAACATTTAAACTAATTTAAATCAGCACAACTTGCTAAATGCAAGAAAAGCATGTTACCGCTACCAATTAAAATTAAAAAGATATCAATTACTATATGAAAAAACAGCACATAGTGAATTATTTGGAAATTCAGGAACAACCTATTCTCAGTCTTAATGAGAATTCTCTGAAGTTTCAGTTAATTGTTCCTGAGGATCAGTACATCAAGCCAACACGACTTCACTCTGGCATCACTGTAAAGAATCCAAGTATCATCCATTGTGCCGCAATAAAAACATTCCAGATGCTCCGTTTTCACTTGCCGCAGCCAGTACTTTGGCCATTTCTGCAACGACGGCCACAAAACCCTGTCACAGACAGCTGTCAAGGCTGGGGCCAATTTCAGTTTTTCAATTCCAATTCCCCCTTTCAAATCAAATCCCAATTCCAATTCGCGTAAAAACAGAAATGAAACTGGGATTTGGTTTGAAAGACGGAAGTGGAAAAAAAAAAAACTGGAGATGACCCCAAGAGGTAGGGTGTATGGCGGACAACTCGCACGTCACACCCGCGTCACTTAACATCAGTCATCTCTCCGCTTGGACAAATCTGCTTCAACATCCAGCTGTGGCTCTTCAAACCACTCCTTGACAACTGCTCCACTTTCAGAGCCTGTCCAGGACTCCACTGCCTGTAGTGTTGCCTGGAGGAAAGACTGCGTTAACGTGCAGATATTAAGATAAAGACCAGACAGGAAAACACAAGATTCAGTTGTGCAAACAGCACTAGTTTGCTCAAGAACCACCCAATTCCACTGGTATGATACTCCAGCACAGGGGTTAATGCTCTGTTGTGAGCATAACCTTACTTAGCTAGTGTTTGGATGGAGGAGGTTAGTGTTAGACCATTAATCACTGAGATATCAAATATTAAAATAAGGATTCCCACTCACCTCAACCCAAAATACAACAAAACTAACATTTTTACCACCGTACTTCTGCACCAAAAGAAAACTTATGACCTTCTGCATCGCTATATCTACTCCTTACTTGGGAAGCAAGACCAGGCTTCCTAATTTGTGTGTCCGTCTTCTCTATTTTGTGTTCAGTTTCACAAACAGACCTTTTCATCTCCAAAACCATTTTTAACAGTGTTTGCTTTGGTGCCTGTTAAATGAGGATTTTAAAACTGTACACAAACACGTCACCCTTCAGCTAAATAAGACATCACTCAGCTGTATAATATCCCAATGCCTTATGTGGATATATATTTGAATAAAGTTTTTTTACAGTGTGCATACATCGTAGCTTAAGTGTTTGACTACAGGGGGATAAATGAAAATTAGGCATACAATGTTCTATTTCATTTTAATACAAGTAGCGTTTGCACAGCACACTACAAATTGCTTCATTTGAATGTCCATTCTTATTTGAACATTCAAATTAAAAATGAAAAATAAGCATCCTTTTCAGTTGAGTATTTATCACAGGATAAGCAATGGTTAAAGATTTACCTAAACCAGCAACAGGTTTAGGAGTCACAGAATTACCGATCGTTCTTATCGTCAAAGTAGTGACATGCAATAGTAAAACATATATAAATTATGAAACTGTAACCTAATAACCTTTTTAAAAAAGGGGCATTCATAAATCTTAGTGTTTAGTCCTTCAACAATCATAGCTGCAGTCAGATAAATTCCACAACTGAACAATACTACGATTAAGTACACTCAATATTAAGTGCAATGCATAACATATCTTAACCATTAATGAAGAATACATTAGAAGAAGACCTTGAATAACACCTTTCAAGGTTTTAAAGCCATTTAATAGCCTCAGGAAACATAACTCTCTAGTATATATCACTAGTTTAAGCAAACTGGAAGCAAATATATTCAAGAATTACCTTTGAATTTATGGCACTTAATGACTAATGTACTTTAGTGGTCTTAAAACAAACTCTCTGACATCCAAATGTGACAGCCCGGATTCTGACACCATCACCATCAAGTGGGTCTTGTTAGCAATAGGTACCAGTCCATGCACTACTATAAGCAACCATTACAAGATCAGCATTCAAAAATAAATATAAAGGAATGTGTAGCAAGAGAAATCTCCACCACAGCCCCTTCCTAGTTCATGCTGATCTCAATCATTTACTACAACACCACAACCAGACTGTACCTAGTGCTAACATCCACTTTCTTCCAAATAAAAGAGGATATTTAAACCTTAAACCAGCCTCAGTGTTACCATAGTCAGTTGTTAACATAAGTTACACAGGCTATGACAATAAAAACAACAGTTTACCTTTAGACTTGTCCGTAGTTGTTTACATCAAACTACACGGTATGAGGTGTTACATTCCGTGTAAAATACACAAGTCCAATATTTGTTTCCGTCACAGGAAACCTACAAGGTAACAGGAGCAACCCGGCTCACCCATGAGAGATGTTCGAATTTCAAAGGTGGCAAATCAATGAACTACCTGAATTAGGTCTCCCTTAAGAAACATTCATGTTTACCTCTGATGAGCACTTTTAGTTCCGGAGCATCCTATATTCCAAACCACATGGGTAGAACACAATTCGGCAAGAAGTCGCCATATACATTGAAACTTTCAGATTTAGGACCACTAAAACGGTAGACCATGTGCCAACTTCAGCTGCCGATTTCTGGGTTTTTTTGCGATTGCCCGACGACGCGGTGTTTATTTCCAGCAATGTTTCAGGTCTACAATTTGGGCTCATGCTTGTGGCTGAACAGACCTTAACATCCAGCCTGGCTACCAATACCCAGCAGGAGGACTTCAGTCCGTGAGGGACGGTCTGAGATCAGACTCGGTCGTGCGGTCCCCCCCAGTGGGTTAGCAGGCGTGCTTGCTTGACCACGGCAGGGAAGCTCAGCCCGAAAGCATGAAGGCGGAACCTCCACGGCCAGCGAGCAGCGAGGTGACCATGACGGACAGACGGGCAGCACTTGATGGAAAGATCACGGCGCACATGCGCACAAGCAGGGGGAGGCATACATCCGCGGGGAGTCGAATTCGATCACAACAGCTGATGTGCTGAAGGGAGGAAAAAAAAACACTACACGAAAAGGCACTTTCACGTACGCTTCTCGGTCATTCTAAGCACTGTAGGGACACTCTGCTTGCCAACCTGAAGGGGTCCTGCGCCGAAAAACTGTAAGAATACAGATGCAGCACGTTACAGCTCGGCAAGCGGCCAGCAGCGCGATCGGGATCCGTGTGAAAGACCACACGATCGCAACACCAAATCGGCTGCCGCTGGCCAGTCAAGCCCAGATGTTACACATCATGGCTGGCCAACGAGACCTTCGACTCGCCGCTTTGGCTGGGCTTCCCACTCGCTGCTGATAGAAGTGTGTCCTGCCGCTGGGAAACGTTAAAGCTGCCTAGGAACCGTGCAGTCAGCCCCGCACGACGTGGTTTGCCGATACCCGTGCCGAGCTGCCCCCCCTCTTACCTCCAGAAAGCCGATGCCAGAGTGATCCTCGGCTACAAACTCCCCCCCACCTCCCGACTCACCTATGTGGGTGTCCTGGCCGTGCGGGCCCGGCAGCTGCAGGCTGATCTGGCGCTCGGGCTGCGGGATGCAGCGCAGGCAGAAGGAGTGCAGACATGGCAGCAGCTTGGGCTCGCAGTCGCGGCTCTGCAGGCTCTGCTTGCACACCGCACAGGTATCCAGCAGGTTGATCGGAGGTGCCGGAGGCGCTGGTGCCGGGGAAGGGGAGGACACCTCCGACGTGGAGGCCGGGGCGGGCTCCTCGGCGTCCCCGGTGTTCTCGGTGTTGCTGTTGGCTGGGCTGCCGCTGCTCTCTCCCCCAGCGTCCCTGCTCGGAGTCGAGCCTAAGTTGTTATTGTCGGGCTGACCCTCTTCCTCGGCACTCGGGACCGGGTCTATGATGACGAGGGCGTCGGTCTCTTTCGCCGCCGGGTTGCTGCCGTCGTCCTCCCCGGAAGGTTCGGGATTGTTGCTTGCGGGGCTCTCAGTCTCCCCTCCGTCTTTGTTTTCCGCCATCTTGCTTCCTCTTTGAACCGTTTGACGCTTCACGCACCAACAAAACGCCGCAAGGCGGGTGTGGTGACGTAGGAGAGAGCCACCCAGGGTCCTATCGCCAGTAAAGTCTCTCTCATTTATTCGTTACCTGTTGCTTTGGACAGAGTGCAAAACTTTATCGTTAAGTATTAAAATGTGAATGTTGGATCTAAGGAGTTTTGGTATGATGTTATACTTTGCAACATATCATATAGAAGAAATGTTTAGATATAGGTATAGTTAATGTTAGTAATATGGGATAGATACCACATTCACGAAACAAAAAATGTATTAATTCCTTGTGTCCAATTTTTAATAGAAGCGTATTCTTTGTGATTTTTTTCTTCACTTATACCTTTGTATATCGGTTCTCCTTTGGTTGTATTAGTTAATGTTCAATAAAAGTATTAAAACAATCAATCTACCCCAGTGGAGTATATGGGGAGCAAGATGATAAATATGTTTCTGTGAGTGTCTGCAGGTTTACTTGCTCTTTAAAGCAGCACCTTAACAGTTGAGAGAAGCTGTAAATTCGGCCCAGTTAAAATAGTGACCTGGGCAGATCAAGGACTAGGATTGGACACCCCTGATTTAGTGGTTTACTGTTGATCTTGAAGTCCATTAGGTTGGTTTTAGGATTTTGTATGTTGGGTATTTTGAGTTCTTAAATCTGGTAACCTCGTAATTGTCTATGTGCAGAAGTAACATTTAAAAAAACGAAAAAAATCAAGAAAAAATATCAGGCATTTTTTAAGGGGAATTCAAATAATGGTGTCTTACATACAGTATACTAAAAAAATAAATATTAAAATACGAGCACGTTCATCAGAGTTCAGATTTAATAATTATTTGCGATTTCATTCCGAAAGATCAGCTCAATGGACAGTTGGTCATGCTTCATTCGCAAATTTGAAAAGCGTTCCATATTTCTAGAAAAGCACATTTTATATACACACTGAAATTAAGTCCCGGATCTGGGCGTCAGCTGAACAATTATTGGCATTATCCACTGAAATGGTGCTCCACCCGGGTGACGCACGGTAGCTATATTACACGGCTGCAGTCCCCACTTACAAACGAGATCAGATGGAGAAGTGAGATGTTATTCACCAGTTGAATCAAGGGGAAATCTAGAGAGACCAGATAGTAGCAGCCCAGAGTGGAATTTACCCAGGGCACGGGGGTTTATACACATGCTCTTTCGAGCACTACCCTGGGATCTTTAATAACAAAATATTCAGGATCTCAATATGACGTCTCATCCAAAGGACAGGACAGCACCTGCTACAGAACAGTTCCAGATCACTATACAGGGACAGCGGTTTGGAAATCCCGATCCTAGTCCTGCGTACCGTATTAACACGCACTGCGTAGCCTTTAAAATCAAGCCAGTCAGGCTCACACTGTACGCGTGATGTGCGCAAAAACTCAGCAGTGACTTCTATAGGCCTACTGATCATGCGAACAACTGTCATAACATGACTCCCATATTACTAACAAATTAGTCATGTTTTTCTAGATATTTCCATATTAAAGTAGAGTAATCCCCTACGAGACTTTTCTAAACTTTTTTTTCCAATTTCAGAATTCATTGTTAATTTCCCACTAAAACCCACTATCTTTTTAATCAATATCCGTGTAGCTTTCATGTTACTTATTATTGTCCTACAGATTGGCAGATTTTAAACCTATAAGAGATCAGATAAGATCCCTTTATTAGCCATATACAATTTCTTGCATTAGGAATTTGTCTTTTCGCATACCCCAGCTTGCTCTCCATGAGACACACAGGCACACAGATGGGGAGTGAAGCTTGGGGTCAGAGTGCAGGGTCAACCATTTACACGGTGCCCCTGGAGCAGCTGGGGTTAAGGGCCTTGCTCACGGCTCAGGCCTTGCTAACCTATTTAAGGTAGTTTGTTTAATTTCCTTGCTACAACAAATGCTTCGGTGATAAGCATTCGCTCTTCTGAATTGGGGTACCTGTTTCCAAAAGTCCTTGCAATTTTAAGCCGTTTCTTCTCACAAACATCGTATAACAAAAAATGAAATAAATCTGCTTTGTCTCTTTTTTCTTACCCATAATGACTGTATTCCTGCACACATCTTTAGTTGTGATCTTAGAGGGCTGTGTGACGACGACATAGAGTTCTGACTAACCGTTTGTGCAGAAACTGCATACCTGTATGCAGCTTTCTAAAAGTCTAAAGGACACCCGAAGAAGGCTCCACAGACTAAACATGGTCTCTTTTGCTTCCTAAAAGTCACGGAGACCCCAAATTCAATAGGTGCCACCATGATGAAGTTGCCTTCTATGCCGATAATAGGCACTGAACATACAGCGCACATTCACATCTGTGTGTTAAGAGGCTTTCTGTACCGACAAAAAGTCACAGTACATGGGAGACATGAACAGACAACAAATCAGTTAAAAAAAACATCTACAGTATAAACTCGAAGAAAATAGTGAGGAGCTACTGGCTTCATGCTTTTAAAACAAAGTACTTAACACTGAGAAACAATGTCCCAGGTCTAGAAAAAGGTCCTGAATTAACAGTAGCTGATTTTTTGCCTACATTTTTGTCAGCCAGACCATGCAGCCACATTTAAATGCACTGCACACCCAGCATTGGCTCTGCTTCAGGTAGGAGTAATTTATTGTGTACCAACAGCTTGTTGTACAAGTCTGCACCAAAGTATTTTGATAAATCCCCTAAATTGCTCCTTTAGATCCGGGATTGATAAACATCTGGCAACGTGATTTGATTTATATCTTGCCTTCACACAGTGACCCATAGACCCCTTGGTATCCTTAACCAGCAACATGCAAGACACTAACAAAGGAGAACAGGAATTCTGTTATGAGCGACCATACTGTAGATAATCCCTGGCCTTGGAATTGTAGCCCCTTTTAACCTGCAGTTTCGACAATTTCCAGTTGTAGCATTTAATCAGTTGTTGTTCTCAGGATAAGAAGTGCAATCTGTTGGTTTCTGGGGAATTAAGAAAAGGCCTCCACTCATTTACCACCAGCTCACACCTGTTCCAAATCATTCCAAACTGATGATTTAAGCAAGACCTATAAAGACCTGCTGAAAGGCCAGGGTTACATTCAAGTCAAGTGTCAACAGACCCAAAATGGAATGGAAACCACTAAGGCAAAATCAAAATTAAATGGAAGTGCATTTGTTAGAAAGCACAATTGAATATATAGGGTTGTGGGAGTCTGGAACACATTTCCCACTTACATTATGGAAGGTAATTCTCTGGAATATCTCAAGAAATTACTGGATAAGGTCCATGGATCAAGAAGTTATTATGAACCAAACAGGCGAGACGGGCCCAGTGCTCACCTCTCGTTGATAACCATCCTTATAGCTTTTAACGAAAAGATACAATGCATATTAAATAAATAGAAGATAGAACTTTAAATTTTGACATTTTTATTACAAAGAAATCAACTTCAAAATATGTCTGAGCCAAAAGGTATGAGTATTTAGCTTCAGCGTTGCTTCAGACTCGGAGCTTTATTAGTTAACAAAGAGTTAGTGATATAAACCATCCACTGAAACAAAAAGGATTTGGTCATTTTCAGAACTTGCTACCTATAGTATAAAAAGTGAGAATTCATTTTTCAAACCAAAAACATCATTAAAAAGGGCTGCTGAAGAAGTGAGATTTAAAGGTCTTGTGCAATCATGAGTCAATAAAGTCCACTTCCTATTAGCTTCCAAAGGCTGGCAGGAAAGAAAGGCAACACTCCTGTCTCTGCTCAAGAGAACACAAGCAGTGAACACCAGCAACCCCCCTGTTCAAGTGGCAAACCTGCAGGGTGCAGAGAAAAGACAGTACATAGCCACTTATCTTACAGAGGTGCAGACTATTAAAACATTCAGCTGCTGATTAAACCCATGACACTATTTCAAATTGATTATTGAGTAAATTCACTGAGTAAAAGGTATTACTAAGAAGAGGGCAGTTTGTCAAACATTATACTTAATAAATAGCCGACCTCCTTTGACATCTGGGGTGCAACTACATAGAAAAGCAACTGCCCAAGATAAAGTCCTGTCCAAAGGAGATAATCTTGAAGTGCTGACGCCTTCAGACCATATACTAAAACAAGGTAAGGAGCTCCATGGGGAAAGTGAGAGCACTGTCCAGCTGCTGGAATTCCAGTTTGATTGCTTTGGGATTGCTGTGCACAGTGCTGGCTCCATGACTCAGAAGTCCTGCCGGATGTTCTCCTTGTTCTCCTCTCCCTGCTGCTGCTTCAGCACGTACACCTCGTTCTCCAGTTGGACGATGGCACGCTCAATCTCGTAGTTCTTGCTGACCAGCGACACCCAGCTGAAAAGAGCAAAGGTCCAGATCAGTAAACACGCCTATTCAATATAGTTTGGTTTAATCGGTCTACGTTTTCTTGAATTCAAAGGTTAAGGTTGTTTAAGGCTCCAAAAAAGTAATACTTTTTTTCTGCTTCTGTAAAAATATCCGGCGGCTTTAAGCACTTTGCTGTGTCAGTGACTATGAGGACATTAGCATGGGTACTGACTTGGACTCCAGCTCCCGCAGTTTTGCGCCTCCCGTCAGCTGCTCGTTCTTCCTCTGCCAGTTCAGATCCTGAATCTGCTTCCTGAGATGGGGAGGAAAAATGCAAAATTACATTCAACACAAATCAACACTGCTGAACGATGTTCCCTTTTTGATGGGATGGCACGTAAGAGCAACAAAGTTAGGCTTTTACACTTTGACTTAGACAAGCACCAGATTTCTTAAAACACAATGTAGAAATCACTCTACATTCAACCACCAGAAATGTTTTGATTCAAATCCAGACTAAGCCAAGTTGTGTTTCGGCTCAGTTCCCCTTCACAAGCCCAGGGAGTGAAGAAGTGCTGTCCTGCTCTGCTGTGAACCTCCTTCCTTCCCACATTGGGGACTGGAGGACTCCTGGTGGTCCTCAAAGGCTGAGCTGTTTAAAACCTGAAAATGTTTCAGCCAAAACAGGAAGCTCAACAAGCATTTTCTGCAGTCACAGATGAAAATGGCTATACTGGATGATCTGTTGCTTTGATTACAGAACAGTAACTACAGAAGACAGAACATTGGATCAAATCCAAGTGCCTTATGAAGACCTGAAAAGCAGTTGAAAAGGGATGGGTAACAATCTGTCTGTTACAATTCCTTGAGAAATATCCAAAAGTGAGCTCTGTAATAAAAATGACTTCATATGAAAGCAGCACAAACATGCTTTTAGATACAACTGCTCATCAGGATGGTTACAAGAAAATCTGTGAGTTGTGAGAATGAATTTATAGTATTTCATGCTGCTATCTATTTTTTCCATACTGACATGGTAAGATTTGTTCAAAATGTATCATTTGGACACATGAACAAGCTGTTTTGACTCATTCTTCAGTTTTTTTCCCAAACCATACGATTTAAGTACAATGTTTTGCATTTCATTCCGTTATTCAGTGTTGCCATGGGTAACAATGTTAAATAACCCAACCAGTATAACACTTTTTTTATACTACCACTGAAGGAGACGTCACAGGTGCAACAGGATAAGGAGAGACAATAAAATAAGGGCCTCACCTCAATCTCTGCAGCTCCTTCTGAGACATTTCAATCATGTGCAGCAGGTCTCTGTAAGAAAAAACACATACAAGTGATCAAAAAGGTCACATCACTGGTATGTTGCAGAATGAGAAGAATGAAATGTAAAGTTTGTCTCGTTAGTGCTGGAAAAGGAAGCGAGGATTGAAAGAGAGGATGTGAAAGAGAAAATAAGTGAGGAGGATGTGATAAACTCTACACTCCTCTCTCTCCTGCTCAGGCGTGATAGTCAGTCCCCAGCCTGTTACGCTCTCTACCGCCCTCTTGGATTTAATATACAAAATAGAAGGTTTTACAGCCCTTGTTTCGCATCATCACTCACTCATTGTAGACCTTCCAGGCATTGCTGCCATACTGGGACATGAGCTCCAGGTTCTCGATCCGCACTGCTTGGTGCTCCAGCTGGGCCATTGAGTTATTGACGCAATCCTGCCAGGCTGTGATGTCATTCTTCTGACCCGAAGAGGGAGCGGGCAGCTCGTACCTGTCCAGATCAAACAGGGTCATGGCTTCAGCACAACTGCACTCAAACCCTTGGCCTGATTAGACATTCCCAACAAACCCACAAGCAAGGTAACAGAAATGAAGTATTAGAAATATAAACGGCTTACAGAGGCTGAAAAACAACAAGTGAAAAAGAAAATAAAAATAATTGTGAAACCTCAAACGAAACTCATTTGAGGAGTTTGATACCTTGCGAATATTGCTTAACAGCAAACTATTTTGTTAATGAAGCAAGGAATATAAACAGTGATATCAAGTCATTCGCTACTGATTTAAAGAAACCAATAAAAACTGTAGAAGAGTGGCCTGCCAGTGCACACCTATCCTTACTGCTGACATGTACCAAGGACATGGAGAGGATGTGGGGAAGCCAGTACTGTATACAAACACATTCTGAATTGATGCTCTTCTCCTTACCAGACCATATACAGGGAGCCTGAAGTTTCAATTGAAAAAGCATAAATTCTTATAAAAAAAAAATGAAAGAGCAAGTTTTCAATGTATAACCAAAACGTTTTCTGCAGGATGACCACAGGGAAAAAAAATCTAAAGCATAGGTGTCCAAATGAAACAGTACCTCTTCATGCTGAGGAGCTCCATAGGCTGTCGGGCTGCTAACCTCTCAAACTCGTTGCGCATTATTTCGGTCTGTTGAGAGAAGAGAATTAGACAATAATTCTCTGCACCAACATGACCATGGCACTGCAGTATTCTTAACCAGGCCAGGCTATTCTTTATCACTTCTGTTTCATGGTGCCTCTTGCATCAAAACAGCCAGAAAACTTATTTCAGAATATACCAGAGAGAAAACAAATAAAGGGCAAAGAGTTTAAATAATGTAACAAAGTGAGAGCTTTCATGTCATCTATTGCACACTCGATGACAGGGATGAAAGTTGCAAGAGATGTAGCCAACAAAAGCCTTCCCAATATAAAATTCTTGCGACTCTCACAAAACTTTCATCCCATTTTATAACAAATGGGATAGATCTCATTAGACCTTACAACCTTCAGGCAAAGATAACCCAAGAATTTGTTTTTCTTACTACAAGGCAAAGAGATGCAACCTTGGCAGGGAAGAGAATAGCTAATGGAGGTGCTCCACCAAGGGACCATGTAGAACAGTCTTCCCCTTTTCCACTGAGCCCCCAGCAGTCACATTTCAGTTAGTCTGGAGTCAGCAACAACAGCATGCTGGTGTGGGCCTGCAGTGCTCCAGCCTCAACGGGGGTCGTACACTCACCTCAAATGCAGCGAAGTCTGGTGTGGGAAGATAACTCAGGTAATTTTTAGTGGGTCTGTACCTGCGGGTTTCCTCTTCCACCAAAGCAGCGGCCTGAGAAGACAAGATCATTCAGAACAGTCACGCCACTTTCCTTATACCCAACCTTGTCACCAGGACGACGCAGAATGACTCGGCACTACTCCAGGACCATGGAATACAGAACACTCTCTTTATCAGGTAACCCCAAGCATGGCACGACAGAACACAATCATAAGCACACTGTCCTCCAGGCAGCGGCACTTCATCATGTTTTCTCATTTCACATCATGCGTTTCTGCACTGGAACTCAGTATTTCTTCAAGCAGCAAGTTAACAGCCCATATCACTAATATTATACAACTACACACAACCAATGGAGTGGAGCACATTCCTCTTCACTTTACCTTTGTGCTACTTTTTTATGCCCTAGCCCGCCCTGTCATGGTTCAAAAGCCATGCGACACCACCGAGAACAGCCCATGGAAACTTGATCGAAAGCGTTTTTACATACTAGTCTCACTTGTTGGCTCGGCAACATCGATACTGCAAATTGTAACAGGTAGGGGAAATCAGTAAAGATAAACGGCAACATAATTGAGGAAAATCAGATCAACCTAAATGCCTCCAACTCCCAGAGTGTGCCCCCAGGTGTAAAAGTAATAGAATTTATCTTTTATACTCACTGCAAACTCTCTTGAAAACAATTTGGAAAGCAATTCCAAAGTAATTCTTATCTCCTGTAACACTATTGTACCATTTCCTCTGCTGGTAATTTTTATCTTCCTTATTTTATTGCTATACTGAACACATTTCTCTCAAAAGATAATAATAAACAAAGAGAAATAAAGAGAGGGTTGTAAAGAAAGTTAAGAGCATCATGGACTGTGTGACACTACTGTCAATAGCCTATGGACACTTTTTAAAGTATTTTTATATCCTGTCTTACTTGATGAAACGGCATTCACACTCCTCCATCTTGGAGATGCCTCTGCAATAGACCCCCTATGCACTCCCAGACAATAGAAACGTTGTTTCTATTCTTCTATTTCCTAGCATGGAATAAAGCTTTGCTTGTTCTAATGTCAAATAACTTTTTAATCTTGAAACACTTGTCCTGTATTACTTGTTGTTCTGTTTCTGTTGTATTGTTGTGTCGTAAAACAAATGTCGCCCTATACAAATATAACAACAATATAAAGAAAATAGAGCTTGAATGCATGGAAAAAAACAACTTAAGGGAGGGAGTGGCAGGTTTCTGTATGTTCTGGACGAGCACTTGCTAACCATCTATAACTTATAGCATAAGCTCAAACCATTCTTGGAGATGGCACTGGAGACAATGCGTGCCTGCCTCTAACCACGAATGACTGATCGGCTTTCCTCAACTGCTCCAGCAGCTGCTAGAACCAAGTCTTTGAAATTACAATTCAAGCACACAGTTCTTACCGCCTCCCGGACACCAGGAGCATCGTAACCCTGGTCAAAATAAGGTAAAGCGTCCACAAAAACTTCACCGGCCACAGAACTGGTCCCCGCCATGTTGCTTACACACTCATTCAAATACGCATGTGCCCGTCTACGTCATGATGTACTGTTGCACCGCAAAGTATGGAGTATAAGCGCCGGTCAACATTTTGGATAATCCCTAAAATGTGATTCGCAAAGAACAGAGTGATAATTAAAACCTCTTTGAAAAAAGTATGAACACAATTTTCAAAGGAGAAAAGGTTACATAAAGAGATTGTACGTTTTACAATATGTGGAGCTGGTGCTGAGTTGGAGCTCTGCAGCTATACAGTAATAAAACGTGAGGACATAAGAAATACACTAATTTCTAACGATTGCAACAGTGAAAGCAAGTAAATAATTACAGCATAGAATTCAGATGGGATTCCTATTCCTATTCATAGGAATAGGAATCCCATTCCTATTCATAGCAAATTCCAACAACATGACAAGAAACTGAAGAATAGGACAAAATCAGTAATTCTACCAGCATTGGGCAAAGATGAACATGTACAAGCGTTAGTCCTTTAAAATCAACACAAGGATGAGTACAAGGAGTACAGAAGACGATTCTGGGGGCACTGGAAATCTTTCCATGGTAAAGGACATCTGCACAGAGCTGGGCATCAGTCGTCTTGGTAAAAGAATCCACGAAGAAATTCTGAAACATTTAAACTAGAATAAAAGAGGAGAGAAACCAAAGAAAACATGACGTTACTTAGGGAGCAAAGACCTAGAGAGAACCTAAAGGAAAAACAGAGAAAATAATCAGGCAATTAAGTGCTTATGCCTTAATGCTCGGACTATCAAAAACCAATGAGATGAGATAGAAGCTACTACATTAGCAAGAAATTATGATGTTATTAGAATCAGAGAAGGGTGGCATGGAGGCACAGTGGTTAGCATTGCTGTCTCACAGAGCGGGGGCTCTGGCTTCAATGCCGGACCTGTGGTGCTTACTACATGGAGTTTGTATGTTCTCCCCATGGTTGTGTGGGTTTTCTACCACATTCTAAAGACATACTTGTAGGTTAATTGACTGGGAAAATTGGACTTCGGTGCGAGTGTGTGTCTGTGTTTGTGTCTTCCTGTGGTATGGACTGGCATGTACGGGTGTCCCTTTCGGAGCATGTCCTACCATGTGCCTGTTGCTTGCTGCAATAGGCTCTTGCTCCCCTGTGACCCTGAACTGAAAGAAATGGTTAGAAAATGGATGGATGGAATCACAGAAACTTGGCAAACTGAAAATGATGGAGAATCATTCATCTAATTCTGGTCTCCTGTCTGTCCTCCAAGCCCATCTACATTCTATGAGCAGACCCTTTGGAATTATCTATATTCCTGCATTAATTGCTCCTAAAGTGTGATCTGAACTTCATCTAGTCATACTAAATAAACACATTCTGATTAAATTACACACAAACAATTGTACTTTTTCCATGTCTTTATTGAAATCTTTATGTAAGCATTCAGTCAATGCTGAAAAATGTATGTGGACCTCCAGGATAATGACCTATGTTAAAGGGGATATGACATTCAGATGTGCATATGAGGTGCCGTGGCCTCTAAAAAACCTCACAAAGTTTGGTTATCAACAGAGTGTGCTCTTCAGAACAAAGAATTGTTGAACAGTAATGGGTACAGATATAATAAAAAGAAAGATACAGATAAGGGTTGAATACTCAAATTTGGGGTGATGTAATTTGAGGACTATCACACAGATTTGAACTAAAACCCCTGTCCTTCTTGGTTTTTATCAATGGTCTATAATTAATTGTCAAATTTGCAGATGATTAAAAATTAGATTTAGCAACCACTGCAGAAACAGTCAATTAAATTCAAAAATATTTTGATAACACCTGGCATGTGTAACGCAGTGCAGGTTTCTGCATGCGAGCAGTAAAAATAAACTATAAATGCAAAGTGGGAAACATTTTGGGAAGCTAGAAGAGGGTATTTATGGAAAAAGTCTTAAGTGTTCATGTTGATACATTATTTACAATACATCTTCCAGACAACATAGGAAAGCAAGCAAACGTGTAGTATATACAGTTAAAAGCTTTGAAAATGAATAAAGGGATTTTACATTAAAATCTGATTGGGGTATGCTAGTGTAGCGACGAGGCTTATTAAAATACAGGAATTAAGTTTTCTGCTCCCTTGCCAGTGAGGCCCCATCTCTCTCTTCATCTCTGTGGTGCAGCCACAGAGAAGCTATTCATGCAGGCTGATTTAAGGTTTCTTTTGATAAGGGACAGCTCCCAAATGGGGATGCACTTAGCTAAGCCTGGCTATCATGATCAATGGTCATCCATTGGCGCCTATCTGTCTAGGGAGTGCCAGATGGACATCTGGATTGCATTCCTAAGTGTCAGGAGTAAGTGACTCATATCTCACCTTGATCAACCAATCAGGAACTGGTAGGGCCGAGTTACCCACGTGGGTCTCTGATGCCCATGAAACTTTCAGCCAATGAAGAACCTGAAGTTCCTCCAGGTAAAAACAGGCAACACAGAGAGCCTGAAGGAGAATTCCAAAAAGAAGAATTCCAGGGGGAAGAACAATTCCAGGGCAGGACGGCCCAGGAGCAGAAAGGCTCCCAAGGGCAGGACATTCTCACAGTGCGCCTCCTGAACATCCTTAGACTCAGCCTGGACCACCACAGAACGGCCAGTGTGTCTGAGTGCCAGAACTTTCCTTTGTTCTAAGAGTCGAGAGCGGAGGTTGCCACGAGTAACCAAAGGATCCACCCGAGGTTACCACCAGCAGCAAGCCTCGTGAACAGGTCGGAACTGTGGACAGCTGAATCAGTATTCAGAACTAGTGCTTCATCACGAACGAACCGGTCCTCTTCCTGACCCGCTGGGACCCACAGTAACTTTTCTCCTGTGCACAACTTTGCCTGTTAAAGCTAACACTAACTAGCGAGTCTTCAGAGAGCAGCACATCGCAGGAACTTCTCTCAAGCCACACAGCATAACCTGGCATGGAGCCAGAGATCGCGGATTGGACAGTAACAAGCCTGCAACTGTTTCTTTGTGCCTGCAGGAGATCTGAATCCCCAGAGATTGGATGAGTATTCAACTTCACTGCATTACAGCTCGAGAATTCAATTGTTATCCCAACCAGTTGATATAAATTTAATTCCTAGGAGTTATGTACTTGTTTCGAGTATCTAATGTAGAAGTTGTAACCAAGTTTATTTACGAAACGGTCTAAATGAATGATATACCGAACGTATGTCCTCTTGGTATGTGTAACTCTTTGTAACTGAATGAATATATACATATATCTTTGTATTCTGATGACCCTCACGATAAGATCTGTTAGGTTTAAATGCATAATCTATGTATTAATAAATGTATCCTCGTGTATTAGTACCTGTGTGTGTGCGTTGTTTGAGTTACACCGCATGGTTGGATTCTAAGGCCATTAAAATAATCATTTTGTGACTTACTGCCACAATTAATAATTGTCCCAGTAAATGCCCAAACCCCTACAGAACTGGTGCCTCGTGAGAGCACACTACACTAGTAAGGCCTCATGTACGCCATGCAATTTGGTCAGTGTCATATAAAAGATATTGCCCTGAAATCAGTAGGGACACATAAATGTTCACATAAATGGTGAACAAAATACTTGGATCACTTAACTACTAACAAAAGCTAGATGGGCTGAATGACCTTCTCTTTTTGAAAACTTTCTGTCTTTCTTGGGGAACTGTTTTCAGTATTGGTTTACTGTGTCATTTTATCAATCCACATTTCAGGGTACCTTCTACTTTGTACCACAACCCCATTCCTGCAAGACTGTTTCACACTGCATCTGCTGGGCAGGGCAGTGCTGCCGATGATGTGTGGGATGGAAAAATGTGACAAGGGAAAATAAATAAATTAACCCCCACCCCCCAAAAAATATCTGTAACGTAATAAAAAGCACTTGCTACAGTACACAGTACACTGAGGACATGCATTTTGTCTGGAGTCAGTAATTCAATAAAGCTCTGAACTGAGGTATGTACTGTACATAATGTTTATTTTGGGGAAACTTCTACAGACATCATTGTTAAAACATGTAAAACTGTACAGAAACTGGGAGTTCCAGGATGCAAAGACAACAACAGCTCATTTCTGGTTCTGGCTTTAAAAAGTTTAAATATAAAAACATGTCCAGGTAACATGTTGTCCAAGAGATCCTGAAGACAAAACATACAGTATGTTAATGCAAGACACACAAAGCACTTAATTTATTCCACTTAACCATTTGGTCAACCGAATGGAAGCTTTCAAAGTTTCTCTTTTTTTCCAAAGCAAGCTGTCTCAGACACAGACTTCTCAAATGCACATTTCTGGTCCCGACTTGTTTTACATTTTCACAAGCTAGGAAGTGCCAAGTCGAAAAAGTACAGTTCAGCACAGTTTCGTTTACTGCAGAAAGTGGGGGTGTTCTTGATAAACACAAGACAGATAAAGGCAGGGAACGAGTGGTAAAAATGAATTAAAATTACATTTATAATCACTTTTCACTACAATAAATGCTTTTTGTATCACATATAGATCCCTTTTCCTTTAACTAGGGAATTGGAAAATGTTTTATACATATTTGTGCAACACACAGTAGCACGGTGAAGGAAGAGAGCTGCAAATCTCAAACAACAACACTTGTTGTCACAGAGAGCACAGAAGAAACTACAGCTCCCGGGTACCTCTGTGGTCGCTTGACAAGGCATCAAGGGTGTCACAGCCAATATGTAACACAAAAAGGAAATTCCTGTCAGTTCCTGTTCTGGCTGTAGGACAGGGGTTCCCAGCCTTCAAACACCTGCTGTTTTTTCTCCCCACTTGAGTATTCCAATAATTGAATTGTCAATAGCCCTAATGATAGGTTAAATTTGAACTCTTTAATTGTTTTCAGTTCCAAAAAATATAAAACCTCCAAAGTTCAAATCAAATAACTGGTCAGTTCACTTAATGTTTAATTTAAGTAAAAAGCTAATCAACAATGATAAACCAGCAGGTATGTTAGTCTCCAGGAGCATGTCAGGAGAGTGCTTTGGCATCTGAGATGTCTTTTCTGCTCCCTCTGTCAGCCTACACTGGCACAGCAGCAATTTATGGTTTAAATGCTCATGGTTCTTCAACCATTTAATTCAAGAAACATTCAAGGGAAAAACAAAGGAGACATCGAACATTTAAATATTTTTATGCTGCAAGCCGCAATCAATAATCGTCCTCTTTTCATGGGATCTTTTAACATTTAAGAGAAAGTACAGTAGCAATTTCCTGGGAACTTCCTTGGAACTTCTAAAAATGGGATGCGATCTCTCTCACAAGAGTACACGAGCAAAGACTTCTGGCTGACAAACAGCACTTTTCTACATTATCTGAACTTAGGGGAATGTTACAACACTGCCATTTTGTTTAACAAACCGGAACTGAATGTCTTTCCGCACTAGTTCGCAACTGCTGCACGTTTATACATAAGAGATTATCAGGTCACCTTATTGCAGCATTTTTTTAATGTCCTAGACAAATTAAATAAAAGGTTATAGAAAGCGACCCCATATTTCCCCTAAACGTTACAAGTCCAATAGTGTTTTTTGTTCCCCCACCATTTAAACAGTGGACACCCTGTACAGGTTTGTCATATACAGTAGGTCAGTTGTGTATAGTGAGACAGGAGTGTATATTTCAGATCTCATCAGATACATTCCCTTGGAGCTAACTTGATGTTATGCAATTCAAAGGATATCCTTTAACTTACTTCTGTTTTGCTTTCATTATTTCAATGAAATTCAGTGAAGCATAATTCTATCTTACTAGAACAAGTAGGGGTTAATTCATTTCTGACATATTAGAAAAAATACAATAAAAACACGACTTCTGCTGTGGAACATTTTTAAGTGACCCATTGTTGCCCAATGTCCAAACAATGTCTCATTGATCCCTAGCCTATAAAAGGTGGACAAGAATGAGGTATCTTTCTAAAACCCATACCATATTGTATTATAGGCGGCTTTTATTACAATTGGCCATTGAGGGGTTCCCACTATACTGTACATTACACACAGGCTGGCAAGAAACTAAATGAACTTTATATGAACTCTCTTCCTCAAATTCCAAAAATCATAAAGTGCAGAACTAACAAAGAGTCAACATGACTATGGATGAAATGAGTGAAGTTATTTCTTTCTTTACATAAAATTATATTTAGAATGATTTTGTCTGGAATTAGGGGGGGAAGAGTGAATTCTGTACTGAAATAAGAAATAACTATGAAAATTATCATCCATATTCTGGCCTGTATGGAACAAATACTGTGCAAGGAAATACAGCATGGAACAAATACTGTGCAAGGAAACCACCATAACATGATTTAAAACTAGCAGGTTCCTTTAAGTAAACCATTGGTAGAGTGGAGAAAATATTCTGACTAAAATTAAAAATAATTTTCAGTTTGCATTTTTTTCCCCAATTAGCTGCTATATCATGTGTCAATTATTGAGCTGAAGAATTATATCAACACTGATTGATCTGGACTGCGAAGCATGGCAGCCTCAATTAATCAGCGACTACAACCCTTAGCATCATGTGACTGCAAGGCCAGTATATGCTATACAGATAAGAGAAAACAGGGTGGATGAGAAGAGCCATTAACACTCAGCTATTTAATGAAAAAAAAATTCACTAGAATTACAAGGGTTTCCAAGAAGTCAGATATAACACTATACTGACTGTGAACAATTGAAGACAAATCTGCAGATAAGAAGCATATTGGAATAAGTTTAGAAAGTATACATTGCAGAATTCTGTTCTAATTGTGACATCCTGAGCTTTTCACAATGGGACGTTCTTGCAAACACATGGGGAAAATGAGAATTTGCTGCATCTATCAGGTTTCAAGTGTCAGGCAAGAGAGTAACTACTGTATATGAGCACTGCTTCCCAATATAAATCAGCACAGAATCATACTCGATTAAGGGTGAATTCAAGAAACCAACATGGTCTATAACAGGCAGAAAGTTTTGTAAACCAGCACACTTCTAACTTTAATCCAAAAACGTATTTTAATTTTCATTTAATGGAAACAGTGTTTGATTTTCAAAGTGTTTCAGAAGCTGAGGTCTCAGATAATGGAAAGAAATGAAATCCTATTTTTGTTTAGTCCTCTGATGTCTTGCCCACAAGACTTTTTTTAAAAGAGATGTTTTCTTTTGGGAAGAACCGTGGTCTTGAAAAGCGCCAAAAAATGGCACAATGATTCAAAGTTTTCTCTCAACTTGTATAAAGATTAAACACTGTCCGTAGCAGATTGATTTTTTTTTTAGGTGCGAGACTCTTAAAAGTTCCAAAAGGTTTGAATGTAATTTGGATAATAAAGGACACTAAACAGTTACATTCTGTTAAAATACAGGTCTAAAACTCCAGAGTATTTTCTACTAATGGATATTTCTTAAAATCCCCTTTGCTTTCTTCATTTATATTTTTTAACAATGTGAAACTCAAAGAAACAAACACCTTCCAGCAGGTTTTCCTCTGCAGCTAAACTCTCATGTTCAGATGCTGAAGGCCTAAGTTGTCTGCTCTCATTTGTTCCGCCTGAGTGTAAATTATAATTAGGTAATTACATAATTAAGTGCATGAGGTTATTTTTTTTTTCAGAGCTGAAAATGTCTTAAATATGTTTGTCTCAGGAAAAAAAAAGTTTCCATCTATCCATTTTCTAATTGCTTTATCCAATACATGGGCACGGGGGAGCCAGAGCCTATCCTGACAAATAGGTGCAAGGCAGGATACACCCTGGATGGAACACCAGTCCATTGCAGGGCATACAAGGACAGACACACTCACTATCACACCAATGTTCCCAGAGGCGAATTAATCTAGCATTAAATTTCACATGGAGAACATACAGGCTCCATACATAGTACCCCAGGTCTGAAATACCCCAGCACCCCAGCGCTGTGAGGCAGAAAAGCTAACCACAGTGCCACTGTGGCATCCATTTGAAAGAAGTTTATAGAATGTAAAAACATCTCTAAAAGATTCCATTTGAGAAAATAAGATATATTATATGTTGGCCAAGATCCGAAGCTGGAGCAAATTCTAAAAGGCTTTGGCCTAGACTGCTATGTCCAACACAAACCTGCCAGAAAATTCACCCAAGAACAATGACATTTATGGACTCATTTGTCAGGCTAAAATGCAGGCTGGGTGAGTGCGCTCTGCAAGACCTCAGGGCTCAGACACTTTGTCAACCACAATATGACACTTTCCTCATCAGAACCTTGTTCATCAATTTCCAGACAGTTCAAGACTTGGAGAGACTATAGTCAAGTGCAGAAAGCATCGGGAATCTGTTGCCTTTTCCTGAGATGAAGTAAACACTAACATCCTGATCACATAATGCAAGAAGGGAGATTCCAGCAATATCCAGTTGTGCAAATTAACAGACTTGAAATTAACTTTGTGTTCCTCCATATCTCAATGGAAGCTGCATATATAAGCAAGCATTCCAAATTTCTGGGCAACAATTCAAAACCAAATCATGCTATGGCTGCTCTCCAATGACACAGTGTCTCACTTTTCTCATTAATTTGGACAGTTTTCCCCACTTTTCCATGTTGTTCATCTCCATTTTCAACATTTTAAAAACTTGACTGATGCAAATAGGTGGGGCCATAAAGCCAGTTGCAGGTATAATGGTAAAATATGTCTGTATGTTCACATTACCAGAGTGGTTGCCGAACTCTGGTACACTAGCATATTCTCTCTTTGAAACTCTATAGCTGGAAACCAGGATGATAAATTCTCTTCAGACGTGGTCTTCAATAATATTTCCTTCTATTTTACCTTGCGGTACCCGAGCCCCTGCCCTCCCTGCAGACGAGGCTGCTCCCTGCCTCCTCCTCTTCCTGCTGTGCGCACTGGTGAAGCTGCGCACTGCCAGCAGGCCATGTGCCCGTCTGCCAACCTGCCTCCGTAGAACAGCTTCCTCCGTCATGTGGGGATGGCGCTGTCCCTCAAGTCCCTAACCTGGAAGTCTGCATGATGTTTGACCTATGTGTCACCTCCTGAACCAGCAAAGGAATGCAAGCTTGGCCAATGACGAGCATTAATGAGTCCTGGGACTGGCACAGACTCTAGCCCGTTTCCGATTGGAAATTTGATTCTGATTCTGGAAATAGTGGCCACAGCTGATTGGCCCCATGTTTAAAAGAGCATGGATTGACTGGCTCACAGCCGCATCTGGCCGATCTACAAGAGAGAAAGCCCCTTAAACAATTTGTGTTAATGAGCACTTGTATCAGTGGAGAAATAATACACAAGGGCACTCAACTCTAAAATTCTAAGGAACAGAAAAACTGAATTGCATACTGGAACAAAATGGGTAACAATGTGTTCCATTTATGCAAGAGACCAGTGGGTTCACTTGGGCATGCAGAGCAGAGCAAAAGAAGGGACAACATCAGCTGTACTTGTGTACTTAGACTAATGTTGCATATTTCTACATTCTTAATTGCTAACCTCCACAAAATGAAAAACAAAACATCTGGATGGCAATAGGAACTAGAACAAATAACAGAGGAAGCTTAATTTGAGTCTTTCAAAGCATGTACAGAGAACAGTCAGGACAGACACTTTGCACACCCAAAAGGGGGGTCAGAAGCAATTAAAAGCAGCAATTAAAAGTAAGAGAGAATTCACAGGAGTGTTCTTTAATAAGAAAACTTACTCCATAGGCTGAAATCAAAAAGCAAATTTCCTATACTGTACTATTTGTAAAGGAGTTGTAAAAAAACTGAAACCACCATTGAAAATCTTGTTCAGCACCTAGGATAGTTCCCAACAGCCACACCCGCCCCCTCAATCAGTAAAGACTGAACATACCACTAAAGAGATCTGTGCTGCTGACTGATGCAACCAATCCATAAAATTGAGCATTGCAGAAGTTTTCTCCAGTATAACAGCAAGAAGTGTTTTTGTCAGAAAATACACCAAGATGGTGTTAAGGTTGCAGGAATAAGATTAATGATAATATAAATTATTTGCATAAATTAAAGTATAGGAAATGCTCCTTTAACTTCACAGAAAAAATACCCTGTCCTGTCTTTCCCGGAAATGTCTATGAAGGTTGATAGGCAGCTTTCTTCCAGTTTTTCCAAAAGTTTGTATTGAGATTCTTCTATCACGTCTTTCCATTGGCTGTTTCCAGTTAATCCCCATTCCCGAAACTTTGGCCAGACAGTCCTGGGACTGGCACAGGTGTCTAGCCAAGCAGAAGCAGATTGTGTTGCTAGTTCTGCCCACTCTAACGAGGGGTGTGGCCACAGCTGACTGGTCCCATACTGCTATCTGCATTGTCCCATCATGACATTCTGCAGTTTTACTTCTTTTGAAGGAATTTCATTTTACTTCCTGAAAACAAACACAAAAATAAAAAAGTAAAACAAGATAAGAAAGACAATATATGTCACTCCTCTATCTTATTGAAATGATCTATAACCAAAAGAAGTGTTATATCCACTAATGCAGTTCATACTACTTTTTTTCCCCATTTACAATAACTAAACTATAATCAGAAAAATAAAACAAACATTTCAGCTCTGCCTCCAAAACAGAACCAGATTTAGGTAATATACCAGGTAATATTTGTTGCATCTTGTCAATTTATCCTACTTTACAACAAATTCTTCCCAAATTAGCAGTAATTGGGCCTGTACTATTTGCATATTTGTTAACCTCCAAACATATTATGTTGATCTTTTTTTAAAGCATTTTAAATATCAGTTGAATGTTAATTTACACAGTTTAAATCTCTGTTCTGTTGAAAGGAAAAGTGTCGTTCAATAAATGGACTCTATACACCCACCCATTGCTGCATAAACTCTCAATTTATCAAGTTTTGCTATAATGATTTTAATAATCCTTTTTACTGTATTAAGTAATTTTTATGCAAAAGGAATGTGACGTGATTTCCTTATGATATCACTTATATAGTGATTAATATTAAACATCCTCCTTATTGTAAAAAGCAGATGCTGTACCATTTTTACATATTTTGTCTATTTTACCAAGTTATATAGAATGATCTTAAACATGCAATACTGTTCTTATTTAGACAAATCTGTCATTGTAAGATAACAATGAGCAATATAGGGTGATTCTGTACATCTTGGACATCTTGAGAGTTGTAAGCATTTACAAGCAATAGAGCCGGTAAAGGATCACTCCATGCTGAAAAGTGAAGAAAAGAAACACATTTTGGCTGTGAAGCATTCTTCAGGGGAGCAGATTAGGTGGTCGGTGATATGAGAAGATGGGGCGGTCAGGGAAGAGGGTATTACAAATAATGTGAATTTTCCTTATACAAAAGTTAGCATTTTGAGACATTTCTAAGGAGTGAATAACCTCCATAAACTGAAGGATGGGTGTATATTAATATCAGCTGGTAAACTGTAGAACTGAAATATGAGTTACATGGATTCTAGGATTAGTGAGCTACATCGCCTGCCTGATAGGACTAACACATTGCATGATCGGTAAATGAGAGGAAGATCGCCTTGTCTCATGATCAGCAGACTTATGGTTTTGAGGAACAGACTAGAAAAAGGGACAGATTAAAGTGTCATTATGTAAAGAAAAAACAAAAATGTGAAATACCGTTAGCCTTGTGTAAGAAATGGGCCAATCAACTTGATCTGAGACATTATCAAACACACACATTGCGGTTAGATACAGACAAAGAACCACAGGAGTGCTGTTTATGCAAGGCTGACAAGTAAAAACACCAAAGATTTTTACTTTATGTGTGGACTATATGTGAACTGAATCCCAGCCTATGGTTCTGACTGTAACTAACTGTAATAGCCTCTGCTTTAGATTTTCTATGCCAACTAAATGTAGAGCATGATGTCTCTGTGTCACAAGAAAAACTTCCTTCTGCATGGAACAACTAAACAGCAAAGATGTACTTCCCAAATATTAGTCATGAGGGCACTGGATTCTTGGCTCTTGAACTGATCTCATTATTTAGACCTCAAGTAATAGTTTTTAGAACTTACAGGTTACCTGTAAATTACATATTTGGTTAACCAATGAGGTAACCACACAGAAGAAGTAAGAGTCCCTTTAATTTAAAATCCTGTTATTTACCAATGTGTTTAACGTAGTACATATAATTTCCTGAGCTGTCCTTCAGATAGAAATTCATGCAGGTTTCATACAGCCCCTATCTGAATACAGCTCAGTTCACCTGCAACCTTAATGACTTCCAGGAAGAATGAATCAGCGCTCAATAAACACTGAGAGGAAACTAAATAGAGGGAAAGAGAGCTACTGTAGCTTGTGACTGTATATTTAAAGGAGGTCATCTCCAGCAGTCAGGTGGGGCAGTAATTTCATTGCATCTATGTGTGACAAATTGACATCTACAGTTATTCCACAGACATAAAAGTGGATTGAATAAGTCCATGAGTTCAATTAAGGGCTTAATTAAAGAAACAGGAGCTCAGATAAAGCAAAAGAGAGGAGGAGAAGCAAAGCATTTCTTGAGAGCTTTCATACTCACCTAAACCCTTCAGGAACCTGTTCACTCCACTGGGCTCTGGCTCTGGTGCCGACTCCAGGTGCTCCACAGCCCTCAGCTCAAAAAGCCCTGGGTGCAAAGGTGTCGAAGGAGAAAAGAGGGGGGGGTCAGTTTCAATGGAGAATGTGGTATCGTGGGATCATTTTGACTTTTACACTCTCTATCATCACTCTTCCTCTCTGGTTGAACTAGAAGATGCTTTTTTTAAAAAGAAGAAATTCACAGTAACAACCTTAAACCTCAAACTCGGATGGCTACGGTCATGATAACTACACAAATGACTGAACGATTCCAGGTTTGTGGCAAGAGTGTCGCTCTGACTGGAGTAGGCAGTTTGGTTGGGCGGTAGATCACCAGGAGGCTTGAGCGAATGAAGGACCAGGTTTGAGAATGTGCCTCCAGGCAAGAGATACACTTTCTCAGTTCTTTTCATTTAGTTTCATATTTAGTTTCACTTGATCACCTCCTTATCCTGAGGTGTGCATTTCCACGTTCTTTTCTCTAATTTAAACCACAGTGCCACGTTTTTGTTTTGGTATGATGCTGTATTCTGTCAGAGCCAGGGTTCTTTTTTTTTCTTGTGTTTCTTCAAAAAAGAATCATGTTTTTGTTTGCATCTTAACGAATCGCTCTTCAGCATCCTGACTACCTGGCAGATGGAGGTACGTAGCTGGAGAGCAAGAGCTGAAATGTGCAAACCCAGCCATCTCCACTCCTGTTCATGTGGTACACTGAGACACTAGCTCTCTCATGCTGACCTTTGACACCCCCTCGGCGGAGCTCTCTGTCCTGGATGAAGCCAGCGAACATCTGGGTCTCCATGAACAGCTGTAAGAACTGCCTGGCTCCACGGGAGGGGTGGGACTTCCGGAAGGCCTCCCGGCACAGCGCTCGCGGCTCCCCGTTCCCCCCGCCCATGTGGAGGGAGTAGTGTCCCACCAGCTCCACAAAGAAATGCACAAAGGCCTCCGAGATGAGCTCACTCAGGCTGCCTCCAGGGCCTGTGAGGAAATGGAGACAAGCATGCAAACGGAGGCCGATCAGGAACAGCGTCCTTTACAGCTTTACAAGACAAAACGCGGGCAGGAGCATACAAAGCGCAAGGTGTGACAATCAAGATGTCAACAGAAAACATCCAATTAATGTCTGTGAGAAACTGCAAGGTACAGAAACTTCTAGAAACAGTACAAGGCCCCGAAGAAGTTAGAACAGGTTCTGAAATGACCAGTAAGATGTGGACCAATTGCACAAAGGATGATTTGAAATGGAAGATTTATACTAGAATTTCACTTAATTATTACTCTACAGCACGATACCATGATTCCTGGAATATAACCTATGTTAACCTGCTATAGGGTGGTTTAACACTACTTAATTTTGGGGGAATTATTATATTAGAAAACAGGGCGGAAACTCCAGTAATGGACATTATTATGTGAGCTGATTTACGAGCCTGATGTCCCCTCCAGACTGCCCAATGAAAAACAGGACACCCTCACCGTCCCTCAGCGTCTGGTCCTCCTGCCTCAGGATGTCTTCACGCTGCTCCAGGATCTGCTGCAGGGCTGCGTGGAGCTTGCTAGGAAGGATGCAGTCTTCATCCAAGATCTGTGGAGGACCAGGGGGTGAGGGACACAAGCCACAGCAGCACTCAAACACTTCTATGACTGCTGAATTCAACTGACTAGAGCAGAAAGCTGCAGCTGAGGATGCTCTATGTATTTCAATACTCGAGACTGCTTTAAAAGTTGTCAAGGGTTTAATCAGAACGGTCACTCACCTGTCGGATGAATCGGTCTCCACAAAGGTCAACAATGAGCACCTGCAAAAGAGGTGGGATCAGTTCTGGTCATGCTGATCACACTTCCTCCAGAAACAGACAATACAGAGCAGTCAATCAAACCTAACTTGCATGTCTTTAGGACGCAGGAGGAAACTGGTTTGCCCAGCAAAACCCAAAACAAATGTCGTAGGACCATGCAAACTCCACACAGACAGGCACCCCAAGCAATCCTTCCCAGGATCCTAGAGCTGTCAGGTACTGTAGCTGCTCTAAATACCACATCACTGTATTGCCTTCTGACAGTGGGCAGCTTGGGCCCATGGGAACAGCTCACGCATGGGCCCATGGGTCAAGACCAGCAACTCCACAAGGTGCCCTGAGCAACACCCTGAGCTCCACCCCAGACTGACAGGTTAAAATCTTACTTGAAACAGTTAAGGGTCTGATTCTCCAAAGCTGATCAAGGGGTGACTTAAGTGTAAGGGAAATAATTACTAATTAAAACTACCTTGGAATAAACATGGACAGCTGTTGGAAGTAATCTGTAATTGGCCCTGGTGTAACAGTTATATATGTGTAAATTCACTGAAGGTTAAGATGACTCAAAAATATTCTAATATTTCTATCAACATTCTATGTTAAAAGGGCATAATTCAAAAGCACTCTGGAGTGATTCCATAAGATTTGGGTTCCTTTTCTTGAATCTTTTGGAGAATACTGATCTTTGTACTTGACCTGTTTGTTTCATATATTCAATCATTTTGTGATTTTGAGACTTTACTCTTATCTCAACAAGGCATAAAAAGCCATAAGCAAGTTTTTAAACTTTTTGTTTATTATCTGGCTGTTTTTTTGTATTTTTGTTTTTTAGTGTTTGCCTTCTTAACATTTTCAAAACTTCTTAAAATACTTAAATAAAAAATCCAGAACATTCTATATTCATTTGTTATATTTTACACCTGTAATGGCTGTTGCTTAAGTAATATTAGTAGTAATTATATTTACAACCGTCCATTGTCTAATTTGCTTCCCCAGTGCAGGGTCACGGTGGGAGCTTGGGCTGGGGCCTATCCTGGCAAGCGGCAGGCACAAGGCAGGGTACTCCCCAGATGAGACACCAGTCCATCACAAGGTACACACAGACATGCACACGCTCATAGCAGGACCAAAATTGTGGTTTACAATAGCCAGTTAACCTATCAACATGTCTTTGGACTGTGGGAGGTAACCAGAGCATCCAGAGGAAACCCACACAAACACAGGGAGAACCTACAAACTACCCAGGGCCCCGGCGCTGTGAGGCAGCAACGCTAGCTACTGCACCACTGAGCTGCCCATTATAATTACAATTGTAAGATTATGCAAATTAAAACATCACACTGGGAGTCAACCTACATCTACTCACCATCAACAAGAATGTACAACAAAAATAACTGTGAAATGTTACAGATTTCACACTCCACTAACTGAGTAATTGGACTTCATCATATGTAAAACATTTCTCAAGACCAAACTTGTGCTTGGTGAGAGCAGTGGGAGAGCAGGTGTCAAAATGGCTTCGGGCCAGGGTGAAGAGAGGGGGCGCGCTCACCTCCTCGATGGGCAGCTCCAGCAGCTCGGGCAGCGTGCCAGACAGCACGCCGATCAGGAAGGGCGTGGGCGAGCAGGAGATGTCCACCATGCTGGCGGGCAGCACAGGGATGTAGGTGTGCTGCCAGGTGAAAGGGTACAGCAGGGCGATGGCAGCGTGGGCACAGCGTGACAGGGTGCTGAGGTGGCGGATTACAACCGAGAAAAAGTTAAAGAGAAGAAGAGAAAAGGAAAGCAGCTCTTTGTCATACCTATTCTGGCACTGCAGGTCCTAGCCAGTCTGTCCAGTCAGGGAGTTCCAATAGCAATGTCTCATTATCAATATCGAACATTGAATTCACGCACAGCAGTTTACAGCCAAAGTGTTTGGGCTTGAAATGTCCTGAGGCAACAATACTATGGGTGTGAAACATCTGTTTCTGAGCTGGAATTTATTCTAATTAATGTAAAGACTGTTCTAAACTAGTAGTACCCTATAATCAAAACTCACTGCTTCCAATAGCTATCAGGAAAGCTAAAGAAAAAGGAATTTTTAAATGCATCCGCTATGACTATAATCCATCTGCTTCCTATTAAACTGCTGCACCCATTCAGCTATCCACTACTTCACAACACATTAGTTATTCCTCTCTATTGTCCTTGTTCAGCTCAAACCCACTGAGTGCTTCTACTGTATGTGAGCAGAGATGCACGTGTATAACCAGTTTACAACATTTACTCACAACCAAACAAGGGATGACTGTATGTCCCAAGTCTAGCCAGAGGCTCTGGGCACTGCACATGGCTACCTGAGCTTGTCTGCCACGAAGATAACCCTCCTCTCCAGCAGCAGTGAGCCGAAGACCTGCAGCAGGCGGCCCACACTCAGGCACTGCAGGAAGCACTCAAAGTCCACGTGCTCCAGTCGAGAGTCCACCGGCCGACACAGGTTCAAGACCTGCAACACCACAGCATCAGGGGGTCCAGTCCAACAGCATTTCCAGTACTGGCCAACTACAGACCTTTCTTCTCATGCCATCAGACAATCACAACACAACAATGAACCCTGCAATTTGTTGATCAGCATTCTCTCCTCGTTCCAAGCAAACTACTGTTCCCCCCGGTTAGGCCAATAGTGGTTCTCCTTCCAGAGCAATTCCTCTTTAAGATCCAAGGATTACTGACTACTTTCACTTCCAGGAGTCATTTCATCTTCTCTTCTTTCCTGAAGAGGATAGACTGAAGAGACTCAAGGTTTGAAATTTTACTGGAAAGTAGCTGAAGATGGGTTCTCTTCTATCAGAGAGCACCTGTCTGTCAATCAAGTTCACAGCTTAGAAGGTATTACTGGTCGCTTTAAGTAACTAGAATTAATTGAATCAATGAATTCAAGGGTCCGATTCAGAGCAAAGGCAGAATTAAAGGCAGTATGTGCCATGAACCTAGAGGAGCAGGCTCTTGAGAAGCCCCTATCTCAGGCCAGGCAGGGCCTCACCTCGTTCCCAGAGCCAGGCAGGAAGCTCTTGACAGTGATGGTACGCCCAGGCGCGGGGAAGGGGGCCTCCATGACACTGCGCATGAACGGGTAGACCAGTGCGGGCGAGATCTCCCTGCGTCTCTCCACCTCCTCCAGCACCTAAAAACAGAGAGGAAGGCGGCACCCTGAGCTCACACACTGCCCAGGAGGCCAAACACCGGGACTGGGGTCCTCACTGGCAATGAATTAGTCAGATATGAAGGAAAAAGGTGAAAATCAATAACCTGATTCACTAGAACCATTTTAAAATCACTATAGTCATCATTGATAATCATCAGCACTTCGCATGAATATAGAAGTAGGCTTAGTACATCTAATTGAAATCTAAATTGTGTTTGTATACAGTGCCTTGCGAAAGTATTCGGCCCCCTTGAACTTTTCAACCTTTTGCCACATTTCAGGCTTCAAACATAAAGATATA